AGGACTTTCCTAAAATCTCTCAAAGCAGCAGCGGGCCCCATACAGCTTGATAAGCGGCCCCAGGCCTGGCACTAGCGGCAGCCTGCATTGGCTCATAGCTTGGCCTCTCCTGGACACCTCCAAGCCCAGCACAAGGAGCAGCCAACTATGGTTTGCTGTGTAGCTCATGCTGGGTGGCCCTGGGCAAGGTTCAGGCAGAGGCTGACTTTGCACCTCCCCAGAGGCCCCAGAGACTGCACCTGGTGGTCAGACTCGACCATGCTGGATTACAACCCTACCACANACCAGCGGGGAATGTCGCTGAGGGTCGCGGGGGCTGCGGGAGCCCCAGCAGCTCCTCTAAAGGGCCCGCACATAGACTCACTAGGACGCGCTCCCTCTGAGCCCAGCGCCAGGCAGCAGCCTGAAAGGACCTCAGGAGGAACTAACCTGCCTGAAATCCGGNGTAACAGCTCGTTGGCTATAGTTGCAGCTAGTCCTCACAGCTGATTGGCCTGGGGGTCAATTCCTCCCNACATAGACTCACTAGGACGCGCTCCCTCTGAGCCCAGCGCCAGGCAGCAGCCTGAAAGGACCTCAGGAGGAACTAACCTGCCTGAAATCCGGGCGAGAGGTGGAGGGGCGGCTTCCTCCCAGGCAGAAGGGCTGGCAGAGGCCATGGCTCCTTTGGCGAGTCCTCCCCCACACAGCCGGCAGGCAGGCGCCATGTTTGAATTGCCAGCACCTGACTCTCACCTTTGGNACTAGAAAGCCCAGCTCAGGTGACTGGGGAGGCTGAGCCACTGATCCTACAGGACATCTACTACACAAAGCCACTCTACAAATTCCAGGAGACATAGCAGCTCTACCTAACACATAGAAACAAACACCTGGAAGCAGCCAAAATGTGGAGGCAAAGAAACATGTCACAAAGGAAAGAACAGAAGAAATCTCTAGAAGAGGAACTAACTGAAATAAAGCCAAGCAAGTTAACTGATACAGAGTTCAGAATTTTGGTTATAAGGATGTTTAAGCAGATTACAAAAGTAACTGAGAAAATCGATAACATAATAAAGTACCAATTTGAAATGAAGGCTACATGAACTGAAATGAAGAATAATTTACAAGGAATCAACAGTAGAGTAGAGGACACTGAGAATCAAATCAGCAATTTGGAACATGAGGAAACAAAAAACACCCAACCAGAAGAGCAAAAAGAAAAAAGAATCCAGAAATATGAAGGTAGTATATGGAGCGTCTGGGACAACTTCAAGAGGCCCAACATTCATATTATTGGGGTGCCAGAAGGGGAAGAGAGTAAAAAATTGAAAACCTGTTTGAAAAATAATTACAGAAAACTTCCCCTACCTAGGGAAAGAAATAGACTTACAAGTCCAGGAAGCACAGGGGCTCCCAAAAGAGGCCCACAGCAAGACACATCATAATTAAAATGCCAAAGGTTAAAGACAAAGAGAGAATCTTAAAAGCAGCAAGAGAAAAGCAGTTAGTTACCTACAAGGGAGCCCCCATGTGACTGTCAGCTGATTTCTCAACAGAAACCTTGCAGGCCAGAAGGGAGTGGCAAGAAATATTCAAATTGATGAAAAACAAGGACGTAGGACAAAGATTGCTCTATCCAGCAAAGCTATCATTTAGAATTGAAGGTCAGATAAAGAGCTTCACAGATAAGAAAAAGCTAAAGGAGTTCATCACCACCAGACCANCATCACCACCAGACCAGCACTACAGGAAATGTTGAAGGGTCTTCTTTAAGAAGCTAATGAACAAAAGAATCTGACGAACTAAACAGATCCAGAAACAGTGATGCATGCAACAGACGATCATATTTCAGAGGGAAGAAGGGTGGAGAGTGGGAAGAGATTAACCAAAGAAGTTATATGCACATGTGCATAACCCATGGACACAGTCAATAACGGGGTGAAGGCCTGGGGAGGGGGTGAGAGTGAAGTGGAGGGGG